CACCCAAAATATTACAAAACAGTGAACATGCTTTTGAGCGCCCCACTTTGGATGTTTGGTACCACAGCAAATGAGCGAGTGAGCGAGTGGGGTGGGGGAAGAGGGAGAGAGAGAAGATAAGCCACCAGCCATCAGAAGAGTCCGTAGTTTGTACAGCACAGGGTTCAAGCATGGGAGAGAAAAGGGGTCCCCTTCACCAGAGTCTGAAGGCAAAGGCAGACGTAGGCTCTGCCCATTGCTATGATTGGATACATTTATACAGACAAAGAAAGAAAAACTAAGAAGTTTCTCAAGGCTGGCAATGTAACTTATGTGCTCTAGTGTATAAACATATAGGAGACCCTAAGTTTGACTGAGATCAGGTTCCTTTCCTCTGTTTCTGTCTCATGCAAATAAACCCTGAGATTGGTGGAGGTGGAAGTACTGAAGGCAGCATGCAAATACAAAGGAAATGCTGTTGGCACGTCCCTTGTTCAAATGGCAATAACCGTTGTTCTGATGCAAAGAAAGTTCATCTTCCCATAGGAGCTGTAGGTGATGGGTGTGTACATATGTCATTCTCCTAATCCTTGTCTGCTAAATTTCCTGCTGTTGCAGCATCAGCTCCAGCTGTGATTGTAACATGGGGAGTGCTAATACCAACACGTTATACTTTTAAAAACCATCTTTCAATAGCATTCTGCCTTTTCTGTTGAGAACGAGGAGAGTCTTTTGTGAATGCAACTGGCCACAAATCTCATTCATGAATGCCAGAGAAGGAGACAACTTTAGAGCCTCACATGCACAGGGCCCAAACATGGGGGACAGAATGAGTCCCATTCACCGGAGTCTGAGGGCAAAGGCACACCTAGTTTCAGCCGGAAGCCTATTACTATGATAGAATATATGTATTATGTCATTATGGAAATAAAATAGAACATTTTCTTTCCTGGCTCAAGAGACTGTATGGATGAGGGGGAACCAGGAAGGGGGAGGGGAAAGAAGACAAGTCTGTAGTGAGCCCAAAGAAATGATGCTGGGGCCCTGAACGTGCATGAAATGTGGAAACTTTGTGATCTGTTCCAAACTAAATCCTGAGGGGTAGTGGTGTTAGCAAGATAAAATACAAGACCAGCAGCAGTGCCTTAAAGACTAACAACATTTACACATTTATTCCAAGATGAGTTTTGGTGGGTCAGAGGGCACTACTTCAGATTTCCTTTTTATAGCACCTGAAAAAGTCAGTTCTAACTCACAAAATCTCATGCTAGAATAAATATTGTTATGTTTAAAGGTGCCACTGGATTTCTTTTTTCTCTCTTCCAACAGCTAGAGTTGTTTGCTCATCATACATGGTTAGCAAAGTACAAGAAACATGATCTGCTCACCACCCTTTACTTTTGTTTTATGTTGCTATGTTCAGTTTGCTGACCAAAGTTATTGCTCCTTTTCCCTGTGGAAGTTTCTATCAGAAATCAGAAAGTTTCTCAGCTTTGGTAGACAAGGGTAGGGTTCTGAAGTGCAACATTTTAAGTTTTTAATAGGGTAAAGGCTTTTTGAACAACAGGACAGCTTTGATTGCAGCTACGGTCGCCACCCTCCAGGCGATGGCTAGAGACCTCCTGAGATGAGAACTGATCGCCAGGCAACAGAGATCAGTTCAACAGGAGAAAATGACCACTTTGGAGGGTGGACCCGATGACATCATACCCCACTGAAGTCCCTCCCCTCCCCCAAACCCCTCCCCTTCTCAAGCTCCACCCACCAAATCTCCACGTATTTCCTAACCTGAAGATGGCAACCCTAATTGCAGCAGCAGATTAGGAAAGTGGCCCTGCAAAAGGGCCCCTTCACCACCTGCGCCCCACCCCAACCTGCCTGCTGAGCCAGCCACACAAGGCCTGCACAGTGGAGGCTCCTAGGCTACTATGGGGCTCAGGTGGGCTAGAAATATCCATTATGTGGGCCTCGGTTGGGCTAGGCACTGCCTCCCCTGAACAGTGCAGGCCTCAGGGATGCTGGGTGCTTGACTTCCCGAGGCTGCACAGGCTAGCTAGCTATTTATTTATTTATTTATTTATTAGATTTGTTATTCGCCCTGTCCCAGGTTATGCTGGGCTCTGAGTGATGTACGGGGTGTGTGTATGTGTAATGCCATAAAAACATATAAAACAATAAAATTCTACAGGCAATTAAATAAAGTCCCAAATAAAAAGTCCATGATGATGGTATCCTCAGGCAGGCCAGGCACCTCCTCCCCCAGGCCACACAGGTTTCAGACAGGCTGGGTGCTGTGTTCCCTCTAAGCTGAGTTAGTGTGAGCTAGCTCACAGTTCTTTAGCCTCCGGCTTACACATTTTTGTCTTAGCTCAAGAAGGATGGCTCCAGAGCAAACTAATTTATGCAGTAGCCAAATCGCTTGCTCACGACTTTAATGCCAGTAGCTCACAAAGTAGAATTTTAGCTCAGAGGGAGCATTGGCTAGGTGTGTCCTCCTCCAGGCCGTGTGGGCTTCAGGGAGGCAGAGCACCATCTCCCCCAGCCAAGCAGGCCTCAGGCAAGCTGGGTGCCTCCTTGCATGGTCAATTAGAAGAGGAGAAGAGGAGATTGGATTTATACCCCGCCCTTCACTACCCGAAGGAGTCTCAGAGCGGTTTACAAACTCCTTTCCCTTCCCCTCCCCACAACAGACACCCTGTGAGCTGGGTGGGGCTGAGAGAACTCTGATACAAACTGCTCTTTTTCAAGGACAGCTGTGCCAGAGCTTGTGACTGACCCAAGGTCACATCAGCAGGTGCAAGTGGAGGAGTGGGGAATCAAACCCGGTTCTCCCAGATTAGAGTCCGCACACTTAACCACTACACCAAACTGGATTGCTGGACCCCCTGGTGGAGGCAGGGATCCCCCACCACCAGGCCTTTTTCCGCAGCTGCTGATCAGCTGGCCGGCAGGGGGACTTACCTGGAGAAAGAGAGGCCCAGGCCACATCCCCAGTGTTGCACCGGAAGTGACTTCATCAAACCAGTGCCATCCAAGGGATGTTCTGGCATTTGAGCAAAAACTCTGTGGTAGAAGCCAGTTTTACCGTAGATGTTTTGCCCCAATACCAGAGCATCACCTGGATGTCACTGGTGTGATGGTATCACTTCCCATGCGATGCCGGTGACAAGGCCTGGGCCTTTCTCTTTTTCCAGGTAAGTCCCCCTCATCCCCCGCTGGGAAGTACAGATGCTGCCTCCCCTACTGAGCTAGCCCAGCCTATTGCCCAGGTGGGAGGAAAGGCCTTGGGAGAAGTCCCTGGTGGTCATAACAGCCAATCCACCCTTTTTGATTGTTATAAATAGGCTTATGGAATATTCACCAAACGGCCCAAAAATGTATGCAAATAGACTGGACTGGCACCATCCCTGGCTTTGTGTCATCTTGAGCACATGAAATTGCCTTATACTTTAGCCTGTATGCATGAATCCTCTGCATGTTGACTGAATGTGCAGATAGCCCCCTCCTATAAATGATCGTTGGCTTTTGTGCACAGCATACAGGCAATCCACGGGGAAGGATTACGTTCACGCTCAGGCACCATGCCCGTGAGAGAGCCAGTGTACACACAGAGGCAGTGACTGGGACCAGGGTGCTCATGCCCACTCTCCCTCTCCAGGTGTTTAATCAATGTGCAGAAGAGTTATGTGGACAAGGCTACTGAGACAGACCATTGATCTTCCAAGGTCATTATTGTCTTCTGTGCCTGGCAGCAGATGTCCAGACTCTCATGTGAAGATGTTTCATATCACCAGCTACCTGATCCTTTTAATTGGAGATGCTGAGATGATCTGGGAACTTCTGCTGAACCATGGCCCTTCTCACCTTCTTTCTCATGGCACCCTACGTCTTCACCCTTTCCATCTCACCTCTGTCTGCTGCTCTGTCTGCATCTTACCTTCGTTCCTTTTCTCTTTCCCCTTATCTTTTCTCCATTTGTAGGCATGTCCCACAAAGATACATATTACATGCAAGTGGGGGGCCTGCAAGGACTTGCCAGCTCCAGGTTGGGAAATACCTGGAAATTTTGGGGGTGGAGCCTGAGGAGGGTGGGGTTTGGGGAAGGGTATAATGCCACAGAGTCCAACTGCCAAATCTCCAGCCACCACCTGGAGGTTGGTGACCCTATGTGGGGCACCTCATTTCCCCCTGTATTCCCTTCTGTGCACTATTTTCTCTTTCCCTTCGCTCACAACTTTAATGCCAGTAGCTCACAAAGTAGAGTTTTTGCTCACAAGACTCCACAGCTTAGAGGGAACATTGCTCACAACCCCTATATTCCCACTTTTCCTTACTGCCTTCTGTCATTACCAACCCACCCACCCACAACCAACCGTTTATCTGCTCCAATCTCCAATTATTATTTATTTACCTAATTTACACCCCACCTTTCTCTACAATGGGGACCAAAACCAGCTTACATCATTCTCTTCACCTCCTTTTTTATCCTCACAACAACCCTGTGAGGTAAATTAGCCTGAGAATTTGTTACTGGCCAAAGGTCACTCAGGGGGCTTCCATGGCAGAGTGGTGATTTGGACCTGATTCCTGCTTAATTTCACTGTGACTGGTCAGTAGCTTCTCCTCCAAAGTGGTCCCCTTCAGTTCGCAAGGCATTGCACAAAAACTTGCATGGTTTGTGTTTGTTGAGCTGTTGTACAAGTCAGAGGGCAAGGCACTTCAGCCCAGCCCCCGCCTTCTCTGTGTCAGTCCTGCAGTATCTTCCCATAAGGCCAAGAAACTTTTAAGAGGACTAGGAGTTTGAGTTTGCTCAAGCACACATAAAAGAGAATCATGTTACAAAGAAAAGAGGTGGAACCATGCAAGTCAGGGTTCCCCCCTCCCCTTCCTTTTAAAGCATTACTGGTCTGGGAAGTTAAATGCAAAGTTAAGTGGGTGGAACTCACGCCCAGGATACAAACCTCCCTGTTGCAGTTCTCGCTCCCTCCTGCTCCAGGATATCTGAAGAGATGCAAGGAAAGAGAAACTGCATCTGGATTGGAGGAACATAGTGGCTGACCCACATTTTGCTCTCCTTTCTTCTTAGTAGCATCCTGAAGGTTGTTGTTTTTTAAAAAGTTTTTGTTTAAATTGACACTTCTTAAAAAGAAGGGCACAAAGTGTGTTCCCTCTCCTGCTCTACAAGCCATGCCTCCACAGGAGCTATTGGATTACTCACCCACTTTGCGAAGAAGAAGATGCAGCACCCCCAGAGGCAGTGGCTCAGAGCTGGGCATCAAATGTGTCCTCATAGGGGATGGGGCTGTGGGCAAAACCAGCCTGATCGTAAGCTACACAACAAATGGATACCCAGACCAGTACCAGCCAACTGCGCTGGACACCTTCTCAGGTAAGTGGAAAAATCTCTTTCTGATGGGTGTGAGGTATTGGGGGGGATACAATCCCCACCACACTTATTATCTGGTATGGGCACAAACTATATGCTCACCACTAATGAAAACAGAGAGGTTTGCCAGGTTTCTCTGCTTTGTTTTATGGTACTTCCCTCATTTTAAAAGTTAAACCCTTATTCCAAAAGATCTCAGTCCTATGGAACAAAGTGTATAACAGGACCCCTGATCCTACACACGTTAACTTAGATATGAGTTCCAGTGATTTTGGTGGGACATTCCAAATTAAGTGTACAAACCTGGGGTTGCTAATATGCTTTTTTCTGTCAAGGCTCCTCTGTTTTTCACTAGTTGCACAGCCCATCGGTGACAGGAAAAGTTTACTTTCTTCCTTTCCAGCAACTGTTAAACGCACAGGAGCACTGCCAGGAAAAAAAGATGGGAAGCCTATATATGACATCTGTTTCAGACAAACACAGTTCTAGAGCTTACTTGGAATTTCAAGCTTCTAGCTGAAACAGAGGGATTGCTCGGACAGACAACCAGCTTTCTGATGCCTGTATCCTGTAACCAACTGGTGGGTGGGTCACCGAGGCTTTGGTGGAAGGGAGATAACACAAGGAAATGGAATAAGAGAAGTCATAACTAGTGAAGCAGAAAGGGCTTTTGGATATCAAAAGCAACATTCATCTTGTGGACTCCTTTGTTTTGTTTTTGTTTTTTAAGGGAAGCCATTTAATCTCTTGTGTGAGTTTATTAAACACAGCATTAAAAGCACTAGCCACTGTGTATGCCTATTTAGTTTCAGTATTGAATAACTGTGATACTGAAGCAGTGCTCACAGGTATGAGAAGTTGTGAAAACAGAGCTCTGTAAAGTACACCATCTAGAAGCTTGATAAGGAGGCTGCAATGAGAAACAGGTGTAGCCTTTTAATTGAAACCTGGATGACAACACTCTCTCTTAGCTAACTGTGCAACACATCTAGTACAGTCCAACTGGTTTTTTAGCTGTTGTTTTTAGCTGTCAGTAAAACTCAAGATCATACTACATTTTAACCACATTTCCAACTAAAGTTCCATAGGAGATAGCTGTGTGATATTGTTAGTCTGAAACTCCAAAAGGAGGTGGGGCCTGATTTATCTGGGGTCTCTCTGGCTAAACACATTGCTGCTGCATGACAGGATTTTAAAGCAGAAATTCAGGAAGGAGTACTTACCCCCCACAAAGGTACACACTTGTTAGGGTTGCCAGCTCTGGGCTGGGAAATTCCTGGAGATTTTTTTTTGGGGGGTGGGATCCTGGGGAAGGTGGTGTTTGGGTAGGTGAAGGACCACAGTGGGGTATAATGCCATAGAGCCTACCTTCCAAAGCAGCCATTTTCTCTAGGGGAACTGATCTCTGTAACCTGGAGACCAGTTGTAATTTTGGGAGAGATCCAGCAACTGACTGGAGACCTTAGGAAGGACTGATCAACAGTCTTGACTAGTTCTTTAATGTGGATGGTGTTAACTCTTTCAACTCTGCTGATTTCCAACTATATTGCTGGACTGCTGCGGATCAATATGATGGTCATTGTGCTATTGTAGTTACATTGGGAAGACCTGGGTTCAAATTCCCACTTGGTCATAAAGGTTGTGTGATGGTGAGCTAATTTTTAACTTTACCCTAAACTACCTCACAGGTTTGTTGTGAGGATAAAATGGAAGAAGAAAAAAAATTCTATGCTGGTTTGAGCTCCATGCAGGAAAGACAGGGGGAATATGGTAGAGGGATTCAGTCTCTGTACTTGTGTGACTGTCTGGGACACATGAATAGGGTTGCTTGGTCATAACCTACCTCTAAGTCCTGCACTGCAAGAATAGTAAGGCTATTAAATAAACAGAATTTTGTCTGGGTTGCTTCCTGGCAAGCCTAAGCTGAATCAGTGCATCAGATAAACTCAAAACATTTGTCTACCTTGACCAGAGACTGATCACCTTTCAGAAATGGTACAGAGCTCATTTTTAAAGACAGTTTGTGTTGACAGATCTCTGTTGTTGTATTGCTGTTAATATTTTAATTAATGTTTCAATCTTGAGGATTATATTAAGTCTCCAAATGAGTTAGAATTCTCTCCTTTTCTTGGTTGGTCACACAATGGATATTGACCCTCCGTACAATCTCCTCCTGCTTTCCAAAGCCTTTCAGTCAAAAGTTCCCACCTCAGAAAGTTTCTGTTAGTCTGGCTGTATGCCTTGCCTTGTAAGGGGAAAAAGGCACAGTTGAGGGACAGGTGTGATATTGCCTGTGAATTGCTCAAGGCAAAGAGATGCACGAGGGGGGGGGGATTTATTGTCCTGCAGTTGCCTATTAGAGGGTGCATTCAGATGGGCAGCCAATCCTGTCATTATGCCATCTTGAATTTTATCCCGATCTTTTTAATCCATCGTAGCACGACCAGACATCCCCCTGGTGAATCGCCTTACCGTGCGCTGCCTCTGTTGTGGATTGTCTAGACAGCGTCCACTGAAGGAGGTTTCTTTAAAAAAACACTTTTTGCGCATGCACATAGGCATCACAGCGCACCCTTGTTGAAGGAAGGGTGCAGTGGGTGTTTTTTTAAAAAACTTTTTGCGCATGCGCATGGGCGTCACAGCGCATCCCTGTTGATCCGCGCATGTGTAGAGATTTTTTAAATGGCGCCCACTCGGGATGGTCTGATGTCAGACCACCCCAATGGGAGGATTGTGTGCTGGTGGAATGATCAGACGGGTGAAAGTCTGCAGTTGTCTTGTAGGTAACTGAAAACCCTAGATTTAAAGTGTTATCTTTTAAGTATGGCTCCAAAGCATGGCAAAACGGGATGCCCACAAAAGAGGGACATTTCCCAGATGTTTGTGTCTGGATATTACCTTTAGATCTGTGAGGCAATCGTGCCTTGAACAGATCGAACGAGCCATCTGATCGGACTCAGAGGTGATACTGAAGGCTTGGGGGAAGTGTGGAGATCTTTGGAATTTATATCGCTCATACTGAAACTTTTGTTCCAAAACCCCACTGTTGTTAGTCTTAAGGTGCTACTGGACTCCTGCTGTCTTCTGCTATTTCAATATGATTACCGTTTTTGAAAAGTTGCAGGCTTATGCCCATTAATTTGGGAGTGAGACCTGCTCAATTTCATGTTGTTCCATCTGATGCAGAACAGGCCAGTCATGAAAATAATCAAGAAACCTATCAACATTGCTTCGGGTGGGCTTTGCCAGCACCTTTTAGATATTCTTTTTAAAAGCCTGTTTTTCTATATTTTGGAAGTACTAGTATGCCATCCTGCAACTCCCATAATTGAATTCTAATTAAGATATTTTGGATGGGGGACAGTTGTGGTGCAGAGTGTGTAACGGTGAAGTATAGTAGCTAAGAGAAAAACCTATGCATCAAGAAAGGGAATGTGAGCTATAAATCAGGAAGTCCTCCTCAGCCTGATTCTCCCCCTTGCTGTGAAGAGGCCTTAGGCAAGCCACTCTTTAGCCTAAGCCTGCTTCCCATAGAGGTCACACTGAGCCTTGTTGGGTTGTTTATTTATTGGACACACTTCAAAATCTGCCTTAGTGCCACGCAGTGGGACCCAAGGATGATAACTAGGTAATCCATGTGAAGCTTCTGGAACACTCTAAAGTGCTATATAAATGCTAATAGCTGTTATTGTTGGAACAGTAAAGAATCAAAAGGAGTTGTCATTAGAGTGTTTCTCCGAAATGGAGAGGAGGGGATGCGGAGAAATTCACATCAGCATGCAAATAACTATTGGCTTCTTTGAATTTTGAGGGAGATGGAAGGTTGGGCTGGTGCCTGCCTGGTGCTAGCCGTGCTGGTGCCAGAAACCCCAGAGGGGGGTAGCTGTGTTATTCTGCTGCAGCAAAAATAAACAGTATCCTTGTGGCACCTTACAGTCTAACAATAAATAAAATCATTTTAGGTGTAATGTGCCACAAGGCTCCTGTTTGTTGTAGTGCCAGCAGTCTAGGTTTTCTTTGAACCTAAAGCTTTGACTTCAGGTGCAGATAGACATGGCATATAGATATAGGATTGCCAACACTGGGTTGGGAAATTCCTGGATATTTGGGGGTGGAGCCTGGAGAGGGCAGAGTCTGGGGTGGGAACTCAACATGGATGCAGTACTGTAGAGTCCACCCTACAAAGCTGCCATTTTCCCTTTGGAAATTGATAACCTGTAGTGTGGAGAACTGTTGTAATTCTAGGGGCTCTCCATGCCCCACCTTATATATGTGGGATATGTGAACAAACTCCCACTTTTTAAAAAGAAATGGTAAGTATCAGGTCTGGGGCAGGGGCTGATCAAGGGTTGCCAACACCAGCTTGGGAAATCCTGGAGATTTGTGGGAGGTGCCGGGGAGGGCAGAGTTTGGGGAGGGGAAGATCTCAGTAAGGCTGTGATGCCACAGAGTCTACCCTCCGAAGCGGCCATTTTCTCCAGGGGAACTGATGTCTATAGCCTGGAGATAGAACATGATTCCAGGAGAACACCAGGCCCCACCTGGAGGTTGGCAACCCTATCATGGTCAGGCTAAGGTGTGCAAGGAGGAGGAGTTATCCCTTCCCCCCATACCAGATGCCCCCCTCCCCATGCTATTACTTGTACTGTAAGAGAAATACACAGGCATTATAAAACTGCTTTATGTTTTCCCCAAGGGGGAAGTGGGATAGAGGTCATGGAAAAGGCACTGGGGGGTGTTAACTAGCACTCACTCCAATGACCTCATCCTCAGCCTGGACCACCAACATCCTCTCACCGTGATCACTATTCACCTGTTTTGAAAAAAAGATCTGTCTGTAGTTCTTGTGTTTTCGCATCTCATTTGGCATTGGTATTAATTTATGTTTGCATATAGGCACAACTAATTGGAAATAATATGAACGGGGGGGGCCCTGACTTTTAAATAAATGTGTTTCAGACCATGCTGACAACCCCCGTTTGTCTTCTATGGGAAAATGAATG